TGGGGATTGAACTGTGGTCCCTGTGCTTTGCTAAGCTTGTTCTAAGTAGGTGCTTTAGACCACTGAGCCATCTCTCCAGCCCCTTTTTTCCCTTTTTGGTACAGGGGTTCTAACTTAGGACATTGTACTTGCCAGGCAGTCACTTATGCTGCTGAGCTATATGCCTCAGTTTTTGTTGTTTTAATTTGGTACAAGGTCTCACTATGCAGTTTGGACTCATAGTGATTCTCCTGTCTCAGCCCCCCCAGCACTGGGATTACAGGTGTGCGCCACCGCGCCCAGTTCCAGTGGCCAGCAAGGTGCAGGCCAGCACAGCATTATGGTACTGGAGCTGCCAAACCTGAGTCCTTGCGCTTGCCAGGCAGGTGCTTAGACTGCCGAGCTATCTCCCTGGCCCTGTGGTCTTTTCTGAGACAGGCCACACTATGCAGCTCTCGCTGGCTTTGAGTTTACGTTTTCTTTGTATGGAGGGTCAAACTCTCAAGCAGGCGCGTAGGCCACCAAGCTGTCTCCCCAGCCTCTGCATTGACTAGTCTTTTTTTTTTCCTTCTCTGTTTTCATTTATTACCCTTTTAAAAAAAAAAAACAAAACATTTACTTGAGAGACAGTATAGCAGTAACTGATATGACATGACAAGCAGTACTTATTTTATTTATTATTATTATTATTATTATTATTATATTATTGGCGGAACCAGAGATTGGACCCAGGCCTCTGCGCTTGCCAGGCAAGCACTTATTCTACTGAGCCGTCTCCCCCACCCCAAGCAGTACTTATTCAGAAGACCACAGCGACAAGCATTCCAAGCATGACCCTAGTATTACATATCGCTATCTTCCTGACTAATCTTTTGGTCACAGCTGTCAGGTCTTTTGTCTGCACCTGGACTGAACTCACGACCTCACGCTTACCAGGCAGGCACTTATTCTACTGAGTTATCTCCCTGGCCCCTGTCAGATCTTTTCTGCCTGCATACTTGTTGCGTATGTGAGTTTCACTTTCACTGCCTATAGAATTTTCAGAAAACTAGTCACAGGGACGGCAGTGGAAGCCAGGGCCACAAGCCCCGCCCCCATAGTAGGCTGAAAAAGGAAAGAAAACCAGTGCTTGCATCTGCAGACCGTGGCCGTCGACTCTAGGGAAGATGACCTCGGCACCCCGAAGACACTGGGCGGGGCGGCTGTAATCCTAGTCCTGTAATCCTAGCTCTCGGGAGGTGCAGGCAGGAGCATCACCATGAGTTCGAGGTCACCTACAAAACGAGACTAAAACCCAGACCACACAGAGAACCCCACCTCCGAGTTTCTACGGGAACCATGCTGCCCCCAGCTCTCTTCTTGCTGCTGTGGGGGACCCTGCTCTGGACGAAGGCCTCGGCGGGTGAGTATGGGAGGCCAGGAGCAGGCACCGCGCGGCCCCTCCGGCCCCGCTCCGGCCCCAGCTCGGCGCGTCCCCCGGGCCGCGGCTGCTACTGTCGCCCGAGCGCGGCCCGCCGCCGCCTGGGGACCTGGGGGCCGGCGGGGGACCTCACCGCCCGGGCCCCCCGCAGACCCCCACTCGCTGCGCTACTTCTACACGGCCACGTCCCGACCCAGCTGCGGGAACTCGCACTTCGTCTCCGTGGGCTACGTGGACGGCACGCCCTTCGTGCGCTTCGACAGCGACTCCGCGGGCGCGAGGGTGGAGCCGCGCGCGCCGTGGATGGCGCAGCAGGCTCGGGCGTACTGGGACGAGCAGACAGAGCGAGCCTTGCACATGGCTCAGGTTTTCAAAGTGAACCTGCACACCCTGCGCGGCTACTACAACCAGAGCGAGGACGGTGAGCGCGGAGATCCTGCCTGCTTCTGCGGGAGCTCCCGCGCTAGCCAGCCGCCGGGGGATTCCGCCTTCCAGGGCTTCCGCTTTCCATTTCCGCAGCTGAATGCAAAC